CCAGCGGAAGGGGACTTCGGTCCCAGCCCAGTTCTTTGGTCGGGCCCCTTCGGATGTTGCGCCATCCACCTGCATCTTGGATTCGGACGTCATTCGGGGCATGGACTCCAACCGCAGCGGCTCCACATTGAAGAACGTTGTGCTGCTCGATGGCGGTGTCGATCCTGCGCCCTTCGTCAACTGGTATCGGTCCTGCGGCATGTCATTGCTGATTCATGAAATAATAACTCTGAGAGTCTCTATTATGAAGCCCTAACACGCTTAGACTTAAACCCAGAGATGATTTGTGCAAAGACAATCCTCTCGGGCCACTGCTGCAATTCGGACCCGGGCACTCCTACACCACAGGAGACCATTCCAGCTCTCCGTGGAGGCAAAGACGTGTCGGCCCGGCCTCGGAGGCTTCGAGAAGAAGACAGACACGCTGCCCACATGGCTGGGGCGGGTCTGTGCCTTGAACTCGTCCTCTACGAGCCTCCGGAGGCGGCAGTTGCCGGCGTAGCCGATGAGGATGACGTCGCCCGACCCTGTGGCCTGCAGCTTCATGAACTGCATGGCCTTCTTGAACTCCTGGACCTTGCTCTTCGTGTACGCGTCGGTCCCGGCAATCCACGGCGTCTTGGCATCCTCGTGGAACAACTCCGCAGACAACACAAAGAGGCGGTGTCCCTCGTTCAGTTGGCCTGGCACCTGGCATCGGCCCACGACATTCTGCTCGGGCCTGCCCTCGGTCACAGCCTCGGTCCACGATGCGTCGTAGTCATCCTTTGCTGTGAGGAAAGCCAGGCAGCTGTCACGATACGCAGCCGCTTTGGACAAGAAGGTCGGCCTGCAACTGCGACATTCGGGCCGGATCACGCAGGAGGTCGAGTGAGGCTGACTCCGGGCGCATGCTCATGTTTTTCATGAGTGCTGCGCAGACATGTTCGCGCAAGGTTTCAGTCTGCCGCTTTGCGAACATCTCATTCTTCTCGCCTCTGATGACTTCCAGCCAAGGCTCCAAAGCTTGCCTGCTGGCTTCGTCCAATTCGCTTTCCCGTTTGGGAAGAGCTAATCGGACCATTTTCTGCAGCAAGTTTGTCGTTGACTCGGGAATCGGACCACCCAGCGACAGCTTGTCCTTCAAATTGCGGCACAGCCAGCCATGCATTCGGGCCTTTTCCAATGCCACACTCATCAGCCAACACGTGGCACATGAGCCACAGCGCGCCAGCTGCCTCACAGACCTGGCAGGAGTTGATGCGAAATGCATTCTTTCGAAGGCACTCCGACTTCGGCCCCAGCTTCACGAGGTCCATCTCCTGCAGGCCCAACACGAAGGCTGCCAAGTCGGGCCCAGCCGCCTCTTCTGTGGCCCAACGGCGGCAAGCGCCAGCCAAGTACGCCAGTTTGCTGTATTCCCGGCTAAACGCCGCGTCTCGGGCCGCGACCAGCTGAAGCGCATGCGCAGCTTCGTCCACGAAGATCTGCGTGACGACCTGCGCGGCGTTCAAAATTGTTCGGTTCAGAACATTGCCGGCGTAAACAAGGACGATGTTCATTCGGTCCAGATGCTCCAAGTCCCGCTTCCTTAGCTGGCATCGGTCAACAGAGGACACCAACAAGGATTCATTCAATTCCGCTCCGGATTTACTAAACATGTTCTAGGTTCAGTGAACGCTTCTTCGGCCCCAGCAGAGCTTCAAGGAAGCGTAAAACCTTCTCGGACCACACCAGGAAGGAATCCTCCACAATCAGCTGACCAGCCGATGAGGCTACCAGCGAAGCAGACAGCAACTGGGACATCGCTTCTGAGCCGCCGCCGCTGATGTAGTTCACGGTCATAGCCACGGAGCCACCGACCCTCCAGAGGTGATTGATAAGGTCCTTGTTCTCGGTCCGCATGGCTTGGAACATCTGGACCTCAACACTGTTCCCAAATTACTTAATAATTGCTGTGAATCCGCGATGGCATGTTTCGCACGGACTTCGAAAACACAAATGGTGCATCTAATCTAACTGCCAGGATGCCCACCACACTGCTAATGGCTGAACATTCCCGAGTGGATACAGAACCTCTGGCTCGGACCCGCCGAAGAGCTGCCAGGTGTACAGGCTGATCGTCACGTTCAGGCAGGGGGCTGATGACCTTGGGTGGTAAACGCCCTCTGGTAATTCATGAAAAGCTATGTCCGTTCAGATTATATCATGCGCCAAGGTGCAAGCACATCTTCTCGGTCAGGCGGCTGATGTCTTCGTAGGAG